GGGCGAGCATGTTTGGTGTGACGGGAATTCGAACCCGCGACCCTCAGATTGCGAGTCGAGCGCCCTAACCACCTGGTCATGCCGGGCCTATTGTGTTCGGATGCAAATGAAGTTGAAAACTCAATAGCTAAACAAAACTTCAAGGAGAGAACAATATTTACAGAAATGTTATCCAACATTCTTAGGAATAAAACAGACATAATATTCAATAAACCAATTTTCTTTGATATGAGCAGTCAAGATCTTTCAAAAACATTGATGTATGATTATCATTATGGATTCATGAAATCAAAGTATGGTGATGACTTAAACTTATTATATTTAGATACTGATTCTTATATTCACGAAATAAAAACTGATGACCTCTATAACGATATAAAATAAAACATTAATTTATTTGATACTCCAAACTATCCAAAAGACTATTCTTAAGATGCTCCGTTAGTGAAATAAAACTTTGGGATAAAATAAAAGACGAAAACAATGGAAAAATAATTATTAAATTTGTATAGCTTAAGTCTAAGATTTATGCTTTAAAATTACAAGATGATAAAATTTGTAAGAAGCCTAAAGGGGTAATTAAAAGTGTTATTATAAAATAGAGCCCAGTAGTGGCGCAGCGGTAAATCGGCGGGCTTAAAACGCTATAAATCGGCTTTCGATACCCGTGGTGGGTACAGCACAGATATCCTATTTTGTAGCTTTGTGCTTAACTACAAACAAACGAACTATAAATAGAATTATTTTCGATGAATATAAAGAATGTTTACTTGACCAAAAAGAAATATAAAAACTACGAATCTAATAAGATGTAAATAACATGAGATATATTCTATTAAGTTAACAAAGAAGCATTAAGCTCGAAGGAAGATTATAGACATACATTACCAGATGGCTTTAGTATTAGGTCATTTTTCTTCTATATGAAAGGAGACATCAACTTTTTCTTTTATATAAAAGTAAACATTAACCATATAAATGGTAAATCTAAAAACGTTAATGCTATTATAACACTTCAATATATAGAAACTAGTAAATAGAGAAACCAAAGCTCTGAAATAAAAATACTTAAAATTTGATTTTGCAAAATAAGTATAGTTGGGTTAATAAATAACATCTGTTGCGAAAATTAACCGAGGAAGATATTAAGGAAATGAATGAAATAAAAGAGGATTTGTACAAATATGTTCAATGGTGGCAACGATCTGTATACAGTCTAGAGCACCTTGCCTACTGATAAGTACAAGTATGTTCAATGGTGACAACGATCTGTATACAGTCTAGAGCACCCTGCCTACTGATAAGTACAAGTATGTTCAATGGTGACAACGATCTGTATACAGTCTAGAGCACCCTGCCTACTGATAAGTACAAGTATGTTCAATGGTGACAACGATCTGTATACAGTCTAGAGCATCCTGCCTACTGATAAGTACAAGTATGTTCAATGGTGATAACGATCTGCATACAGTCTAGAGCACCCTGCCTACTGATAAGTACAAGTATATTTTTATTAATTATTTCATTCCCTCCTGAAGAAGACCTGTTGGATAGTGATTTGTGTTCCTGCAGCAAAGACAAAGAAAGGACCCTAACAAGTGCACAGGTCGACGGAATAGAAGCAACATTGGCTTTTATTGGACATAGTCCACATACGAATTATATTAATGCTGTGTGGGTTCACAAAAACTAAGGTTAATTAGCAACAAAACAATTTTGGAAAGTAACGCAGAACATATGAGCAATATTTCACTCTCGTACATTGATAAACCTCTGACTTCATAAAACCAACTGTACTGCTTTGTTTAAAGCAGATATGTTGTGCTGCTTATTAGCATTTTGTATTTACTTTTGTATGTTTTATAACAATGTATTATTCTAATGATAAATTGATCTGTTCGTGACTCCCACCTGTTTAACACCTGTACGTTTCCAGACTTGTTTCCAGTACTGTGTATGTTGAAATAATTATCTTCCTTAACAGGTTAAAACTAAGTTTAATAAACAGTTTGGTAACATTGGATTTTTATTCTAAATTTCGCAACTTTGTACCTACCATCTCCCTACAGCCACAATTTTTTTTATTCACGATACTTGACCGTGTGTGCCCTTATAGCTAGCATACCGGGCTACAGTTCAAAAGCATTAAGATTCGAGCCTGCAGTATGCCGCTGGACATGTCCCATACTTACGGTTGTGGGAGCGTTAGAAAAGTGAGTCAAACCTGTAACTAAGAGTAACCATGTGGTCAAATGGTGCTACTGACTAGTTTCCTCTTTCTTGTAAGCAACCCTGAATTAAGCACTTTTCTACCAGAGACTTAAGTTTATCTTTGCTGTTAAATGAACCATTAATTTTTATTTTACTAATATGAAATGTTTCTCTTTGTTAAATTAGCAATAAGAAATTCGAAATAGCAGTACTTCCTCCTATCATTGAGAACATATTTTCTTTTATTGCAGAGCTAACAGTTAAAAGCAGAATGTTGAGATGAATCCCCAGAATCAAGTTATATTAAGTGCTGTTCTTTATTGGGCTAGAAGATAGGGATGTAAAGTTTGGTGGTTAAATATCTCTTTCAAAGACCGGTGATTGTTTTAACTCGATTATAATAATTTGGAAGAAAAGATATTTTACGACTGTCTGCAACATTTTACACATTACAGACAGACCACACACCTTTTCACCAAGAATACGAGCATAAATGGCTCCATAAAAAATTAAACATAGTATTTCTACCACCTTCATCTCTACTTCAGATGAGTTTTATTTCCGGCTTGTTGAAGCTGATGGTAGGATTCGTGTTCGTCGTTTGCTTGAAGACAGTTTGACAGCGCTATGTGTATTTGTATTCAATCTTAATAATAATGATCTTGTTTGTTACAAAATACGCAAACATTTAGCCAAGACTGTATAAACTCAGTAAATACTCACTAAACCACAACTTCAGCACTTTGCTAAGCAGTAAAGTAGGCACGAGTATCGATACTGGCCTTTGGACACCTACAGTAAAGCAACTGACGTGGAAATTTCCTTGGAGAACTAGGGAAATTACAAGCACTCAAATAGAATAGATGTTACAGGACTGTAACTGTCCTAACTGTAAGTTGGCATGCTGTCTTGCCCAAGTAACACGGTGAAGGTGGTGAATTCTGGTGAAAATCGGTTTGCAGATAGTTGTTCTTGCAAAATAACCTTGTTTTGTAAGTCTCCTATTCACTGTTCTTCTGGATACCCTGGAATGAATGTGTTCATGCTATTTCTGTCGTAAGGTGTTGCAAGACTTTTTTCGATCTTGACGTGTTAACCTGATCAAAACACGGTCATCTCGGGAAGTAGTTTTTCGGTGTCTACCAGTATATTTTCCTGGACCAACGTTTTCTGTAGTCCGATGACATTTCAGGATTTGGATACAGTACATTGGGGTACTCTACTGCTCTGGCAATGTCCGTTTGCTTCATACCAATTCATACTGTCGAACAATTTGACGCCCTATAACTTGTGACACGTGACGAGGCATGACTCTACACCAAGTACATAGAAATTGTCTGAACAACACATTGATCTGTTTCCAAAAAAGATTATACCAAAAACACACCATTTTAAACAAAACAGGTGTGTATGTGTGTTTTGACGAACAAATGCCCAAAACAACCAGAATACAGACCAGAATAACAACTCATACATATTTGTCCGATTATACGTTACCGTATTCAATAACTAATCCATGCATGTAGACAATAACATCAATATCAATCAGTATGCAAACATTTTGGCCAAGATTGTACAACACAAAAGCAGTTAAACTTGGAGGTTAATTCATTTGTAGGATTTAATATTTGTATAATCTTTTCACGAACATAATATTAGGTCTGTTCGATTCAACAAAATTGAAAAAATATAAGCGTTATTTATGATTCACTTTAATTTTTGTCAGTATTATTGACTGTTTCTGCCATTCCATGTGGCTACTGCACAACATACCCAACACTATAAATGTAACATATCCAACACTATAAATGTAACATATCCAACACTATAAATGTAACATATCCAACACTATAAATGTAACTGCCAGCACGATGTTATTAGTTGCAGACATTGAGTATATGATCTTCCTTGAAATAAAATATTGTTCGAGGACATACTAGAAGAACTTGTTGTCAAAATCGAATATTCTTTTTTCTTCTTTAAGATATTTCATTAAACACCCATCTGCTTTTATATAGAACTGACTCGTCAAGGGCAAACTAATTCACATTGTGTGATAAGATTTCCCTATTAATAATACCAAGTTGTGAAGAACTATCGTGTGAACTGATTCCTATTGTGTGATAAGACTTCCCTTTAATAATACAAGATTGTGAAGAACTACATTATTCTCAGAGAACGCTATAATAATAATACAAGGGACCTAGAGCCATTGGTCTTTATAATACCAGCATGGTAACAACCGAGCAACGCTTAGCCCATATTTTTATAACAATATAATGGTGGCATTGTAAACTTTGGTACTTTGTTATTTTTTACATTTATCTCGAAACTATTTATATGCGTAGTTTGCATATATAATGAATATCATTCTCTTTTACATCGTTTAACTGTTTATTTTTAAACAGTCTGTTATTATTATGATGACTGTCTTCGGTGATAAGAACTACGGATTGTGCTGATCCACAGCCAAGATTTCTTATTAATAATGCAAGAATGTGAAGAATTGAGGCGTGAATTAAATGTTTGTTGAAGGGACGTTTGGAAAATACAAATTTAATATTAAATTTCTTAATCATTTTTCCTTTCCAACTCCTGCTGGCTATGTAGAAATGAAATAATTTCAGATGTGGTAAACTTATTCACAGTGTTCACTCCACTTACAAAAATTCTAACTTATTTTGCACTTTTTAATACCTATATATATCTGCTACTTGGTTCGACCTGTATCAGTAGCCACTAATAATCTTATGTTTACTTTTGTATAGAATCTGTCATGCCCGAGCTGCAGTTTAGAAAGTCACAGAACATGTTTTTTTCAACTTTCTCTCTCTAGTAGAAACAATGTACAGAAAAGATATCACAAAGGTGTCTTCTTTAGATTTAAAACTGGCTACTTTATTACAAATACATTGCTGAAGAAATTTTTTAAGTACTTTATTACCATTCTTTCTCAGTTAACGTACAATGCTACAAACTTCTATTTAAGTAAACTATATTCAAATGTTGAATCAAAAATTTACAAATATTTCTTTGAAAGTAACCACACTCTTTCACTAGTTCCTCATACTTATTGGCTGATAAACTTGGGAATATAAGAAAAATAAACAGAAAACGTAGAGTTTCCTATAGAAAAAAAATGAGTATTTTTGCTTTTAATGCGATTTATGTTGGCAGGTGGTTAGACAGGTTGGTGTCATATGCCACGCCCACAGCTTAGGGTAAAGAACTACACTATATTAACGGGATTCACTAGAGTGGCTTTACTGGTGTGTCTTGAATTATGCTTTGTACTTTAGGTATGTAATGGGTTTATTATAGCGAAGTAGGATTTATTGGTGTTTTTCTTTTCTTAAAAAATAAGTTTAATATTTTTATTGAAGTGGTTAATAGTTATTTTATTTTGTTTTAGGTAATATGATGTTTGTACTTCATTTTACTTTACTGTTATGGGTATGGCGACCCTTACGATCGGAATTCGTGGTAAGTATTACTCGCGAAATCTTATTCCTTTAAACATGTCGGGCATTTTATGTTGTTGTTTTTTTTAACTTTTTTTTCTTATTTATGGACTATTTTTTTTTTATTTGATTACTACCTATCACAACTACGTGATTCACCTAAAATCGCGTACAACTAAATCGGGGTGGGGGGGGGGATTAAGCTCACGTCGCTGTATTTTTTTTTTAACTATTTTTCTATTGTAAATGAAGTGGAGGTATGTTTTTATTTCTGAAGCTATATTTTGTAGCTTTTAGCTTTAACTCCCAATACTTTATTTCCAACTTTCCTTGTTCCATTTAAACAATAAACAACTGTTCTTGTTTCTTACTAGTCTGCAGACTATCAACAGAATCCTCTTTTCGCTGATACTCTCAATTCTGTAGTCCTGGATATGACGCGACAATACTTTGCTAGAGAAAACGATTATGTAAATGACTTTTTTCATGACCTGGACCACCCAGAATTGGATAAAACCGAACCTTTACTTCATGGCTATATTCCTGGTACTGGCTACAATAACAGAGAAGGTAAGTGTAAAATTTAGTATAATGAGAGTAAAGTTCTGATTATTCTTAATTAATCAAAGTAGTAGTAGTACATCAGTCTCTAATCCTTAAGGTTTAGCCACAGTTACTACACATAATGAACATCGTGCAACATTTTACACTGCTTGTAGTAAGTGGTTACATTCTCCAATCAATACTTTTCAGGGGGGGATGCAGCATGCTCCAACCTGACAATTTTTTTCTTTTTCAGATACAAATGCTACTTCTTCGTAAGTTGATAAATCATCTTTATAATTGTATGATATATTAACTGACAAATAATACTACTTATTTAGAACTGGAGTCTGTAGTATACAAACTTTTAACGATATACATAGTCTAAATAATTGGAACGGGTGGACTAGTATAGGTACCTTATCCCCTTCCCCCACTATAGCTTCTGACAGACGTAGGAATACATTTTAGCATTCAGAAATCTAACTTTTAGAAATGCTCTTATCATGCATTTGTAATCCAACTTCTAACATCGATAATTTCTAATAACAAGCACACTAGGTTTTAACTTTTTGTCTATTCTCGGACACTTATCCTATTACGTGGATTAAGTTATTGAAGCAAGGTTTACTCTAAAAGAAGTTTTGTGGGCGAAACAAACTTTTTAAACCTTGCGTAAAATCTATTAATATAGAATGGGGAATATCTTATTATGCTCTTGCAGTTATTAAGTAAAATATAAAAAATCTCAAACTAACTTAAAAGGAAGGAGATATTACATTATGGAAGCTTAGCATGCGTTACTACTAGTACGGTTTGTTTCCAGATATAGTCATAGAGAACATCCACGAGGAAAAGTTTACAACAGACACTTCTACAAAACTGTGGCGCTACGTTAGGTTTAACAACTCTGATTTCCTCTTGTCCGTTGGAAACGAGAAAGTTCTTCTATGGCAAATTGATTATATAGAATATGGGATGAGTTTGAAAACATCAACAGCTATCTTGTCACACACAACTAAAAATGGTAAGTTTTGTATCTATTTGTAAAATCTAGTCAACAATTAAAATATAGTGTGTGTGTGTGTGTGTATGGATGAGACAAACTACTAATCGTCTTGGATCTTCATAGTAAAGATGGTGTGCTTAAGCAAACATCTTAATTTGGTCTCAAGTCTTATCTTTATACTGAATGAAATGAGTGTCGTACTATAACTAACTAATTTCTTCGCTTGCTACTAAACTACACGTCACACCAGTATAAATCTTATTTAATCTGACGTTTTTGTTATCATTATGGATCTTTGAATATTAACGTTCACTTATGAAGGCTTTATTTCATTCTAGCTATTATCCTCGATTCTATTTCTTTCGTTAAAACCAACGAACAGTTCGAAATGTTAGCCGTAGCCATTCTGGAGGCTTCTGAATACGTCGGCCGTTTAATTATATACAAGGTGGTGAACGGACACTCGAACCAGGTACATGAAATTGAAAACAAAACAACCTTGGTTATTTCGAATATTAAGTTAGTCGCTAATACTAGTGAAAATAATGCATGCATTCGATTTCAATGAACACGTCGCTTTCACTTAATAAAATTAAACTTTAAATGATTACCTAAACGCTACACCTTTTTAGTACACGGAAAGCTACTTTCCTTTTTCAGGGTGTACGAAAAAATCTGGACTCGTAGGTGATTTGCAGCATTACTTGATTCTCGGTATCTGATTTATGGCGCTATCAAAACATGACGATGTTAACTTAATCCCAGTGTTAATCTAAACTTATTTCGAATTACGAGCACATGTGTAACGTAACGCATCCTCTAAAATTATTTCAAATTCCTATGGTTCCAGACTTTTCGAATACCCTATAGTTTATCAGCCCAAAATTAAGAACGTCTAAGGCAAACACCTCTTGTGCAAATATCTGAAACTGAACTTTGGCAGCTGTTCAATAAGTGCTTGTAAAATAAATTTCTTCCCCCTCTCCTATTCCATTACCATAACTTGCTCATTTCTAACATTCTTCAAAACTCTTGCACACTCCTTATTCCAAAGATGTCAAACGGTAAGCAAACGTTAGTTCCTTCTGAATTTCTTAAAATTCTATATACTTGTGGGAAAACTTTACTTTGTTCTAGGTCATGTTACTGGACTTGGGCGATACTCCGTTCAAAGTGGGTCAGGTGTCATCACAGTTTGATAGTTCTATTATCCTGCTATACAACTCTTCATCTGGCTTCAAAGTGCAATACATTGAAAAAGGTAAGATTTCGCACGTAATTGTGACCCTTTTAATAAAATTAAAGTTGATATTCTATCCAGATCTTTAATCAACCTACCAATTTTAAGATAAATGTATCATTCTCAAAATTAGTTATGTCGAAGTGAGAATAGTAGGAGGTTACTATAACTCGACGAAAGTGATTTAACAAAACTAAGAAGCTGGCTGTTACGATTACTGAGTTTTTAATTTCTGTGATATCTTGTTAGCTCGTTACTATCTCGATAACATTACAAAAAAACTCTTTATTGTATGTAACTTCGCGCTTCCACTCTTCATTTTCAAGGTATTGGATGCTGGAAGAACATAATTAAAATCTGGTTGCATGATCCCGTAGACTTGGAAACTCTTGTTATAAACGGATTTGGTTACGTGGCTGTCGCCAATTCGTCCACGTGTCTTGTTTTAAAATTAGATTGGTTTCTACGATCCCATACACAGTTAAAAGCGTAAGTAGCTCAACTATGTTTCGAACTCTCGCTGGAAAATAAATTACGTATTTAAGAAACTAAGTTCGTTTTTTTTTTTTGTGAGTCAAAGGATGGAAATATAACTTTATCTTTATTCGGTCAAAAGTGGCTTTACTTTAGAATAATAACGACCTAATGACTAATTAAAGGTATAATTTTTTAAAGATTGCATGCAGACGATATTCGTGATCTCCAAAGTTTTCGTGTCGGATTCGAACACTTCTTTACTATTATCTCATCCCAGGAACAACATTTACTTGTGTGGCGAAGTGGAGAATTCCACACAAGGCAGTTTCTAAAGTTTCCAAACGCCACGCAGATTTACACGGCTCCAGTGTCTTCATGTCGAGATGATGTTTTTGCTGTATTATTCCAAGACACAATACTCAATCGAGTGTCTTTACTAGTGTGGCAAAAGGAGGAACGACTGGTTAGAGTGCCTCCTCAGAGTAAGTAATCTGTTTATTAATTTAAAAATAATTACAGGATATTTGAAACTGAAGGAGATTGCTAGATGTATGGTTTAGTTTGAATTACCTGGTTAAATCGTTGTCATTGTTGGTAGCCTATACAATCCCTAATTTGTTTTTCCAAATTACTTTTCCTAGTATTGCAGAGCTCTCCTAAGGACATCCAGCTGTTGACTGGCAGTATCACTTCCTTCATCTACAAGAAGACTGTTTATCTCCTAGCGGTGGATAGAAGAAAGGGATCGCGGCTTTTTTCTCTTCACACCAGTCTAAAGCCTCTTCCTAACCCAGTGTTTACGAGAGTAATGGAGCTAAAGAACTTCATAAATCATGTTGAGGTAAATGTTGGTCTCCGTTTTATATAAGAATTAACTTTTTTTTCCCCCATACCGTTTTAACTCGTTTACATGTAACTAGGCGACGATCCTGGGGTTAGCTCGGACTTGCAGACTAACTTATTTTACTCCCATTTAAATTTGTGAAACTCTAAAGCTTAGTGAAAATATAATTGAATACTATATTTGTACATTCTTTGTAATTCCCGAAGCATCTTCTTAATCAGGCAGGCAGTAGCACTGTCTATGTAGGGGTAGCCCAGAGTGTTCATCAAAATGGTATTTTAAATACCCCCCCCCCCATCAATGAGTCACCAGAACTTTACAATGCTATGCAGTTTATTTCTATAACAATATCTATGTAATGACTGAGTCTCAAGTTCTGGCAATGTCTGTAAATATCATAACAAAGTTTGGATTTCTTTTTATTACATGCTAAATCAAAACAACAGTGTCAAACAATTTTACTGAGGTGACAGTTTCAAACTAAGTATCCGCTTTCATAAGTATTAATAACTAGTAGTAATTAAAAAAAAAACTATACTAGTATAAACGATGTTATCAAGAAGTTAGCTTTCTTACAGCTAATAATAGATAATAAATATTACAGTTGGAACCTCATTGTGTTTAAAACTTCGTTATAGATAGAACTTTTTTATATCTATTGAAACACCGTATTAAAAAAAAAAAA